TCCCTTCCCCCGGTCTCACCCCCGGTGCCGCGGCGCGGCGGCGAAAAAGTCGCCGCTCCGTCGGCTGTTGGTTTAAGCCGGGGAAACGTTCTCATACGGCCGGGCGCGTGGATTTTTGTCTCCCTGTTCTTAGTGTCATTTACGTCCATACATTCGTCCCTAACGGCCGTAGCAACAACCACAGTCTCGCCCATGCGACCGATCGCTTTCCCCGGCATAAACAGCTTCCTACACTGCGCTGCTCAGACCCTGGATGAAAGGAAATCCCTGTCACACTGATACTGATACTAACCGGGGAATGTACGTCTGTTTAGCCGCTGTTTTCTGTTTCTTTAGCCCCGATTAGTTTATTCCCTGTCCGTCTTGTTTCAGCTCTGACTGAAGTCTCGTCTATGATTAACGGTTCCTGTGTCTGTAGTAGCCTTTACTGAGTTAGGTCCTGGTTATAACCAACAACTAGGACCAGATGGAGAGACGACTCCCAGGTCTTTCTAGCAGCCTGGTGTTCTGCTTGGCCAAGTCTGTGCCTGTGACCTTAGGAGAATCTTACAAACACATGGAGGTGGGTCAATAAAGTAGACACCAAGGTACAGGATCAGGGCCAAGCTCTAAACTCTAGGATCCATGGTCACTACCACAGCACCTATAGTTCCCCAGACGACCATGAGGTCAGAAAGGCCAAGGCCACATCTCCCTCTTTTGCTATGAACTCTGTCATCTCTGTCTACTAATCATCATCTTCTTAAGTCTAAATGTGGAACCACACGTTGAGAACCACTGCTTTCGGGAGTTTTAACAAAATGTTTTATCGTAAACCTCCTGAGTCCTGTCTCTCCCTGGTGTTTTACTGAACGACACATTTGTATTTGTTTGGTTTTCTGTCCTGTAGCTCACCTCAGTGAGGACGTCCTTCAGCTCCTCGTAGGCCCGCTCCAAGTCGTCGTTGATGATAACGATATCAAAAACACCTGGCTCCTTACCTGCAAGTGTTGTATTTGCTGTTCTCACACACACACACACACACACACACATTTTCTGAATCTCTGGAACTTCCTGAGTAAAAACCTACTGAGCTCCATGTCGATGCGTGCTGCATCCAGACGTTTCTGTAAACTCTCCTCAGTTTCCGTCTGTCGGTCTCTAAGACGTTTTTCCTGACAACACAGTAAAAATATAAAATATTAAAAAAACCAACGTACAGACGTAGAAACACTGAATTATTAGAATTTTCTTTTTATGTGAAACTGTCAGAAGTTGGACGTTTACTAAGATCTCCATGGACGGAGGCTGGATGGAGATGTAAATGGGGTTGAGATCAGTGTCCTTGATCCTCTTCACTCCCTGGATGTCCACGTCCAGGATGCAGATCAGGTTCTTGGCCAACACGTCCTCGATGGCAGCTTTACTAGAGGAACAGTCGGGAGTTGGTTGATAAAATGATCACAACTGGACACAAATGGGTAGCGGCATGCAGTGAGTGCGGGAAGGAGCCTGGTGCAGGGGGGGGGGGGGGGCGTCGATATGTGACTTCCTCTTAAGAGGATACAGTTAGAGGAGGAGATTAGAATGTGACACAAGGTGCTGCTCACTTTGACCTGACAGAAGCTAAAGCTCCATCTGTCACCAGACCGTCACGCTGTCTCTCTAACTCCGGGCCTGTTGGTCTTCATGAGACTGTTGGTCTCATGTACTTCATATATTTGTACTGCATTTGATTTTACTTCAAGAGACGTTTAGAATTCTTAGAATTGATTGATTCATTGCGGGACTCTTTACCTTGTTCCGTACAAGTTCCCAGAAAACTCTGCGTTCTCTATGAAGTCCCCCCTGCTGATGCCCTCCTCCATGGCCTCTCGTGTTGTGAAGTGATAATCTGAGAAATAACATTAACATTAAATGTTATGACGTGGTAATACTGTACATGTGTACACAACAGTCAAAGGTCACGACATTTACAATGTAATTTTACAAGACTAAGTCCACTGTAAATACTACGTTTGAATAGTTGGTTAAAGCAGTAGTTGTCAAATTAAATGGATGACATCCAAACTGGGGGGCGGGGCCAACGAGGCGTTGCTTTCATTTGTAATTTTATTTATTTTGTACCACAGGAAAATCACTGTTTTACATCAAGTCTAGTGCAGTTTTGAAACAACAACTGTCCATTTGATGATTTAGAAGAATTCTTGTCAAATTAAACACAAACTGACAGCAGGATAAATTACCTTTTAAACTTTTGGCCAAAGCTACTTTTTGTGACCATTAAATATTTGGGAAATAACAACACACTAGAGTTCATGTTGTAATGGAACCAGTTTATGGCTCTGCTGGTTTTAAATGATCACAACCGTCGGTGCGTTTAAAGACCCAGTGGAAAACAGGAAAGTTCAACACCGCTAAACAAAAACTGGGGATCGTCTACAGAGGCATCACAGGGGGCTATTTTCAAAAGCTTTTTACTCCAAAGTGCAAACTGTCTGATCTGGTAACCAAGCATTTATTTATTTCTCCAATTTATTTATTTTTTCTTTTCTAAAATGATGAAAGTAACCCCCTACCCTTCTACCTTGGAGACACCGTCAACATGAATCACACTGAGGTCACCTGACTCTGTGGTCTCTGATTCATTGGGACATGAAAATGAGGTTGACATTTCTATTTCTTCAGAGGAAAAGACGTCTGCTACGGGCAGTAACGTAGCCCCCAGAAGCATGGGGAGCGAGTTCAGCCCTATAAGGAAAGAAGGCACAAAAGGAAGTTTTTCTCTGAGATTCACAGTCATCGGGGCTGTTTGTGCAGTTCACTTGGGAGTAAGAAGTGTTGTGGTCGATAATGAGGACCACATGGTGGGGCGGGGGCTAGGACAGGGCAAGGACAGGCGAGAGAGAAGGGGAAACACCCGATGGAACGAAACAAGCATTTCAACCACGAGCTAAAGTCTTTCTACTTTCTCTGTCCGACTTCTGTACCTTTGCCGTTTTCCTCTCCTGGTCGAGGGCTTCGTGTCGTGTCTGTGAGGAAGAATTTGCGAGATTTAAGACGAGTGCACAGCGTTTCACACAGGAAGTAGCTAATCGTTAGTTAGCACACGTACGTGAGACGCTGAATCCAAAGACGCCTTCGTGTTCCTTCATCAGCCTCTTCATCAGAGTGCTCTTCCCCGCTCCAGAGGGGCCGCTCAGCACCAAAGGCCTTGGTCCAGACATGGTTCTGGGACAGAAAGACCGACAATCTCAACAGGAAATGATCCGTGATCAGATGGTCCGATCGTTTCTGGAGTAAAATCTGTTACAGCGTCTTCAGACGGCAGGGTTTATTCTGTGCTTCAAAAGGTCCAGGGCATTTGGCCCAAAAACTCTGGACTAGAACAAGGGATAACGTAACCCAGGGAAACCCCAACCACTGGGTCGGGGTCTAACACCAGGCCATGGATTGTTTTGTACTGGGCCGCACTGACAGAATAACAAGTTTGATTTTTACTCCTCCTGCGTTCTTCCGCCTCCTCCTAAGAACTCCTACGGTCCACGTCCTGTGGACGCCAACCATCGTCTTCATACGTTCTAATCAAGTTTTCTTCAGGGAATTTTTAGTACCACGAGATTAATGCCCTGAAGGTTACTTGCCCACGACTTCCTTCTCCTTCATGTTTTACTGAAGGTTTTTCAACAGTTTGAAGAATTTACGTTTTACGAGACCCTGAGGATTGAGCTTATATCACGAGAGAAAACTTTGTTTCTTCAAGCAGCAAATAAACAAACTGATGGACAAAATGTGTTTGTCAAAAAGCCTTGATCAAACAGTCAGGTACTGGCTGCTGTGTTTGTCATTCATTTACAATGAAGTTCTGATCAACTGGAACCTGGAACAGTTTATATAAAAACAACCGCCTGAACAGAAAATAATACAATTTATGACCAGATTATTTCTGGTCTCAGTAATTCATTGCATTATCTTTGACCACACACACACACACACACACACCTTACCTCCTGTCAGTGAGCCGCTGTGGTCTGTGGTGTGGATGGTTCTTCAGAGAAGCTTCTTACTGTGCGTGTGTGTCAGACTCAAGCAGCTTACTGTCGATCTGCATTACCACCACCGCTCGTTAGGAACCAATCGTGTGAGAGAACGCAGCGTTGATTGTGTTTACGTCCATAAACCCTCACAGAGGAAGAACAGACCGTTGGTTTACACTCGGTAATCGATGTAATTAACTGATTGATTTCAAAATAAGAAATCAGTTTTTATTCCGGAGTTTTTGTTTTACTGTTTGTTTTTCACTGATGTCAGAAGAAGAAGAAACAAAAAAGAAGACTGACATGGAGTATGAATGTTCCACAGTGATGGTTCTACAGTCTGTTCTGACTGGGACTGACCATCACTGACAGTCACTGACCATCACTGACCATCACTGACCATCACTGACCGTCACGGCGTGGGTCGATGAAACACTCAGAATAGCAGGGTTTAGTGTTTCTTGACTGGAGGTGAGATGCTCCAGGGCTAATCCTGGTCTGACCCATTTGTCAACACTAAGACGTGGAGCTGTTTAACCAGAGGTTCGGTTGATCACAGAACGCACAGCTGACTTCCTCTGAAAGAGAGACAACATCTGGGTCTCGGACCAGTTTCTGGCCACATGAAGGCGGTCCTACCCCTGGTGGTTTAAAGCAGTTTCTTTTTCCTAGACATTATTCATAAACTCCTGGGAAACATGATGCGAGCAGACCCCAAAAAAAATCTCTTGTGACCCATCTGAGGGTCCCGACCCAGTGTTTGGGGAAACAATGGTTTAAAGGACAGGGACAAAAAAACGTTTGAATGAACATTCTGTTTTTACACTGGAAAATGTTTAATTTAAAGGGTCATATTAAATCCATACAGTTGTCTAAGACATTTGTACACTATTATGTTCTCTCTTTGAAATATATGTATACATATATAAATATATAAAGAGAATATTGTGAAGCCGTACATTTGAATCCACACCTTTTTATTGAAGTAACATTGTTAAAATTAGATTTACTGTACGTGATCCTGTACAAAGAAAGAAAAAAACAAAAAACATGGCTGACAACGTGAATGTTTTTTTTTTTTAAACGAGGTTATTGTTAATGAACCTACAGGAGCTGGAGCGACGGTTAATGATGAAACCAAAGAGTTTGTTCAGTAAATACAGCCGTTTGTTCTGCCACCGTACAAACATACACAAAACTATTTACATGTGCTGTACACGGGGGGTTATTCTTATTTTTTAAATTTTTTTTTTTTATTCTTCGTTATAATAGAGACAAAGTGTTAGAAAAAGATAAATACCATCCCAAAAAAACAAAAACAAAAACCCTCTTTTCAGTGCCTGAGATCTCAGTCCGTGTTTCCTCTGGATCTGGTTGGTTTTTTGCAGAACAAACATCGATATCGAACAGAAGGTCAAACGTTGCTCTTTAGGATTTAGCCGTGATGCTAACGCCGGTAAAGGAGTGGTGAAGTGTGAGGAGGGTGGTCATCTATGACAGGCCAGCTG